TATACTCAAACTATATTTTCATTTACAAGAAATAAATTGTAAATAACTATATTTTTCCTTAATTATATTTTTCTGACCATCTTAGCTAACCATTCCTTCATAATTTGTTCATAAAATTCCCTGCAAATCTGGGTGCTGGTGGCTCCTGCCTGTAACCCTAGCTACTCAGAAGGCTGAGATCTGTGGATGGCAGTTTGAAGCCAGCCCAGGAAGGAAAGTTGATGAGACTCAGCTCCAATTAACCACCAGAAAATTAAAAGTAGAGCTATGGCTCAAAGCGGTAAGGCACTAGCCTTGAGCAAAAGAGCTCAGGCAGCGCCCAGGCCTGGAATTGAAAAAAAATTCCTGGCAGATATGTTCATTTTCATTGATCACATTTAACTTACTTCAGTCTATTAACCATATTAATTAAAAACATGCTCAACATTAGCATAATGAGCCATTATACTGAACACGTTCTAGAATAAAGTTAACAACCCAGAGAATTGCTCTTTAAATTTAGCTTGTTGAAACAAATACCAGCCTTCCACTCTTCAAGATTATATTCATTTCCTCTCTTTCTCTTTCTCTGTCTCCCTTCTTCACTCTCTCCTTCCTTTTGAGATAGTGTCTTAATATATAGCCCAGGCTAGCCTGGAACTCACTAAACTCATGTGCCATTTTAGGTACAGCCATGTTAACACCTCTTGATCAGTAACTCTTAAAAGAGATTATGGCTCCCTAGTAAAGCACTTGTCTAGCATTCCTGATGCTCTGAGTTTCATTTTTAATACCACACACACATTCAAACATTTAAAAAAATGGTAGAGCCACATACTAGTGGTTCATGCTTATAATCCTAGCTACTTGGAAGGCTGAGACTGGGTGGATCTCAGGTTGAAGCCAGCTCCACATATGTACAAGACCATTTTTCAGCTAATAGCTGGCGACAGTGGCTCAAGCTTGTCTCTGAGTTTTGTGAGAGATTGGGATTAGGTGGATCATGGCTCCATCCTGTGTAGAAAAGACGGTAAGTATATCTCAATGGAAAGAAGCTAGGTATAGTAGTATACATTTGTCATTCCAGATGGTACAGAAAGCCTAAAATAGATGGATTGTGGTCCAAGCCCACATCTAGGCTAGAAGTAAGACCTTACCTCAAAATGAACCATAGAAAGCAAAGAAAGGGGTGACGTTGCCCAAAAAGAAATGTATTCATTACTTGACTTATGAAATGGTAACTCTTCTGTAGAATAACAATAAAATAACAATAAAAAAGAAATTTAACACCAAAGTCTATGTAAAGTAGACTTCTGGCAGTCTTTACAGTCTTCAAGATGATCATGAGATGGAGGACACTAAATTCTCTCTTATGGACTCTACAAACTTCACAAGAAAATTCAAAGGGAACCCACACTTTCCTAAAAATAAACAAAACAAAAACAAAAGCAGTGCAGAAAAGGTCAGAGGAGTGGATTAGCAGCAGTTGTGTAAATCCTAGCACCATCAAAACAATAATCAATCAATGTTATATAGCTAGCTGGAGGGACCCCCCAGGATATCCTGATTTCCAACGCTTTTGTTTGGTGGTATTGGGGAGCACAGGCCTTTGCACACATACTATGTAGGCACAGTATCATTGAGCTGTATCCCCAGCTGCCTACCTTCCAATGTTAATTCATGTTTTGGAAACCTTTCTGCATACATGGCTGAATGTGGAGGTCAGAGCCTTGGGTTCTCCCCAGGGTCTAATGATTAGAAGGATTCACATACCAGTTCCAAGGTGGGGAAGGATTAAGGGTAGAGGTCATTTTCTCCACTTCCCCCAGAGCTTGTGAGGAGGAAGATATAGTTGTTTTAAATCTGGTCCTTCTCATTGAAATGCTTACTCTGTTACTGAGATTCCCACTCTGTGCTGAGAATTCCAAACCACAAGACAAAAAGCATTAGCATAAGTTTTTATTATTTTCCGCATCAACTAGACATAGTTTTATTTTCTCTTACACTAGAAGAGTATTAAGATCCATGCAAAAGAATACAATTCTCAGCCAGGTGCTGGTGGCTCATGCCAGTAATCCTAGCTACTCAGGAGGCTGAGATCTGAAGATCACAGTTCAAAGTCAGCCCAGGCAGGAAAGTCCATGAGACTCTTATCTCCAATTAACCAGCAGAAAACCAGAAGTGGCACTGTGGCTCAAGTGGTAGAGCGCTAGCCTTGAGCTGAAGAGCTGAGGGACAGCACCCAGGCCCAGAGTTCAGGCCCCACGACTGGACCCCCCCCCCAAAAAAAAAGAATTCTCCATGAGATGAAATTCAGTTTTAAGATTAATCATGACTACTCTTTTTTTTTTTTTTTGCCAGTCATGGGGCTTGAACTCAGGGCTGGGGCACTGTCCTTGGGCTTCTTCTGCTCAAGGCTAGCACTCTACCACTTGAGCCACAGCAACACTTCAGGCTTATTTCTGTGTATGTGGTACTGAGGAATCGAACCTAGGGCTTCATTCATGATAGGCAAGCACTCTACCACTAAGTCACATTCTCAGCCAATCAATACTGCCCTTAGAGGAGGAACACAAACGTGCAATGCCTCTGTGCCTCTGATCATATAAAATATTTATTGAAATGAACTCCAGGAAATGGAAATGAGGATTTTTTTCCTTTACTTTTTTATCTTGTTTATCTGTCTTTGGGGAAAGGTAAGAAGGGAGACAAAGAAATGGAAGGACAAAGGGTGAACAAGTGCAGCAGTGGTACTCAGTAGAAACTATGCTGAAAATGAACTATACAATTTATGGGTGGGACAAGAGGCCAAAACTTGGGGAGAGGGAAAGAAGGGTGACATACTCCAAAAAGAAATATACTCATGCTGGGTGCCAGTGGCACATGCCTATAATCCTAGCTACTCAGGGAGGCTGAGATCTGAGGACTGCAATTTGAAGCCAGCCTGGGCAGGAAAGTCTGAGACTTCTATCTTCCATTAACCACCAGAAAACTGGAAGTTTCGCTGTGGTTCAAGTGGTAGAGTTCTAGCCTTGAGGTGAAGAGTTCAGGGACAGTGTCCAGGCCCAGAGTTCAAGCTCCAAGACTGACCAAAAAAAAAAAAAAGGAAAAAAATACACTCACTACCTGACCTGTGAAATGGTAATCCCTCTGAATATTACTTTTATAATAATAAAAAATAAATCATGACAAGTATTATAATTACTTGCTTCAAGTAGAATTTGTCTTCTTGCTGCTTCTTTTCCTCTTCCTTCTCCCCACCCCTCAACCCCTAGCTCAGGAGGCTGAGATCTGAGGATCACCGTGTGAGGCCAAGCCCAGGCAGGAAAGTCAATTTCTCATTTGTTTACAAGGGCGATCTATACTTGCAAGGTAATGTCTGAACAAAACCAGAGGCTGTATATAAGGTTTTGGTCTTGGGGGGCTTTTCAAGAAGTTGGAGTGTGGAAGTGGCGCTGTAGCTCAAGTGGTAGAGCACTAGCCTTGAGCTGAAGAACTGAGGGACATCAGGCCCAGAGTTCAAGCCCCACGACTGACAAAAAAAAAAAAATGTTGGAGTGTTCAACAATCAATAGACTCTGCTATGAGATGGTCACTGGAGCAAGGCAGCTGAGATCAGCTTTTAGAAGCCTGGTCCTTGGTGTGAGGCAGTCGCTGATTGGCTAATGGTTAGAAACCTAGAACTGTTAATGATTAGCTGGCTTTCAGAAGCTGTTGGTCACTAATTTTCAGAAGCAATAAACCCCTGAAATGAGACTATCAATGACTGGCATGTGTTATATGATATGTAAATCATGTCTAAATGGTAGTTACTTACTTGTTCACAACTTGTGACTTGAACAATAATAATCTCTCCTGTCTTGAATATGAAAAGCAATTGCTTTTATTTCCTCCTACTTTCTTCCTGTCTTCCTTCAGACAAATTTGGCGGAAGACTGTCAAGATTGGAGATTGTCAAGGTCTTTATTTCGAGGATTTTCAGCTAGTATTACCATTTAAGTGATTCAAGCACCAAGTCCTATGTTAGAAAAACAGCTGTAGCTAACTGTTGTAATTCATTGTGAAAAGGTGAATACAAGGCATTGGAGACTTATGGACAAGGTCAATCAATACTTGGTGCAAGATAAAAATCATTAAACATATCCAGGACGCCTCGGAATCCCTCTCAAGGAATTTTCTCTATTTTATACAGATTATTGACTGAGTTTTATTTTTTTTTTATTTTTATTTTTTCTGTTCCATGTGTAAACAGCAGGAAACGGTCGAGCTGGGAGTCTCAAGGCCTAAGCCCAGCGCATGGCTTGGCGGCGCATCACTAGCCAGAGGCCCTCTGGGAAGCGGGATGGATGTTGAAAGGGAAGATGCGCTGTGGACGAGCAGCAAGGGGAGAGATCCTGGGATGAAAGCAGGGCGCCGAGGATGTGGACCAGGGTGGAAAAGGCTCCCACTGGAGGCCAGAGCCCGACAGGCGGAAAGGGGCGGTACCCAGTGGGCGGGGCACTGCTGAAGCAAGCTCCACCCCCTTGGGCGCGTCCGTGTGCGTGGCTGGTGGACGCTGCTCACAGTCCCACTCGACGATGCAGGGCCTGAGGAGAGGACCGAGCAGCTCTCTGGTGTCCATCATTCTGGGGACCCGTCACCTCAACATCCAGCCCGATCGTCTCACAGCTTAAGGAGGACGCGTCCCTGAGACCGCTCGCCAACATTCTCCCCCCTCCCCCACCACACGACATTCACACAGCAGCTCCAACGCGACACCCCCACCCGCGCTCCGCGCGC